TGGGAACCGCTGGGCTACATCATGTGTCATTCACCGGTGAGAAAACTTTAAAAGTACTACAATACCAGGAAGGAAGATCGGGTTGTTGATGTTTGTCTGCCATTCTCGCTCTGTCTGCACAGCGTGCTTGAATGCGCTGATGGCATATCCTGTCTGCGCGAACCGGATCCGCAGAGGTATGCTAATACGTTGACAGGCAGGTAGGAAAGCCAATTAAAACGCTCGGACCGAGCGTTTTGATTGGATGAACATTTCTTGGTCCTACGCCTTCCACAGAACATATAAATACAGATAAATAAATTTAGACCACTTAACTTAATGATTGCTATCGGGATGTGAAGAGACTTTCAACCAGCATAACAAAAAATGTTTCTGAAGACAATCACCTATTGCACCTTTAACTTTTATAAAGAATATCTCTTTGGATTTGAGACTTTAGTCTTTGCAACTTTACAACATTACTACAATAGGCTACATCAGCGGTTCCCAATTCCAGCCCATGTTCCGAAGTGAAGTAAACTTCAACGGATTTCCCCTGCTCAGGGAGAAGGGAGCAATGAACACTGTGTAGGGATCATATTGATCGGAACACAGTTCATGCACGTAGCTCTCTTCTAATGAGCTGGTTATCTGAATCAGATGTGTTAACTAAGCGAGACATGCAAAATATGCAGAGCATAAATAAATTTAGACCACTTAACTTAATGATTGCTATCAGGATGTGAAGACACTTTCAACCAGCATAACAAAAAATGTTTCTGAAGACAATCACCTATTGCACCTTTAAGGTACATTCACACTGACAGGTAAAATCACATTGACACTATGTTCTAACCAGGCGCAGTGCCACTGCGTGACAAGCGACAAAACAATTCGGTACTATTTTTGTCATGTTGCACTGGGTAGCCCCGCCCACTGCAGAATCTTATTTGTTCAAATCTGTGCTTCAGACTGACTTTTATCGTCAGTAACAGAGACGCTGGAACCCTGTCAACATCATGTCTGGTTAGAGCACATTGTTAGTGCCCACACGGGGGATGCAGGTTTGAGTCTGGATTGTGTCATGTCCTGATCTCATCATATCCCTGTCACTTCGCCCAATAATTTTCAGTTCCCTTTTCACTGTTAAGTACAAAAACATGCAATGTTCTGTTCTTTTTACAGAATGAGAGGGAACAAATCATGACAACGAATGTGTGGCTGACTCAGGTAAGCTCACCTGCTATGCCTGTGCGCTCATCTGGATAGTGTTATCAAACACAGTCAAATGAGCTGTCCCACATGAGTGCACAGTGAAAGATTTGAGTTGTAATTCAATCATAGTTCACTTTTAGGTCATTTCTAAAAGTGATGGAAAATCCTGTTGAACCGAGTGAATGCGTTTAGCTGTTTTGTTTTAAATGAGTTTGGTACAAATACTGGTACATCGTCTGACCCAATTTAAACAGTTTTAATCACATTGTACTTTCTCTGTAGGAGTGGAATGACTACAGACTGGTGTGGGATCCGAATGAGTACGAGGGCATCAAAAAACTACGAATACCATCGCAGCACATCTGGCTTCCTGATATAGTACTCTATAACAAGTATGCCATAACTGTGACCAGTACATTTATACCAGTAGCACACATATACAGTCTATAGACCTCTATTCAAAAGTTTGAGATCAGTAACAGTTTTAATGTTTCTTTTTGAAGGCTCAGCAAAGCTGTATTTATTTGATCAAAAATACTGTACAGTAAAAACAGTAAAATAGTGAAATATTATTACAATTTAAAATAAGTTTTCTATTTTAATACATTTTAAAAATGTAATTTATTTCTGTGATGGCAAAGCTGAATTTTCAGCAGTCATCACTCCAGTCTTCAGTGTCACATGATCATTCAGAAATCATTCTAAAATGATGACTGTCACTTTTGATCAGTTGAATGTATTCTTGCTAAATAAAAATAATTTCTTTCCAAAAAATTTTTTTTTAAATTAAATAGTACTGACCCTATTATTTTGAATGATATTATGAGCATAATATGATAATATGATTTAAGTAGTACTATTGGTTGAGTACTTCAGATGTTCATTTGACCTGCCAACATTACACTGACCACACCTATACTTTTCATTTTTATTTTCAAAAAAAATTTTCACATATAATTTTTATTTTAGCAATTTATTTTATTATTTGCTACAAATATTTATAAAATTATATGTAATTATATATAAAATCTAAATTATTTAAATATTTAGATATTATTTTCTTTACAGTAAAACACTTTGATCACACTTTATTTTAAGAACCAATTCTCAGTATTTACTAACTGTTAACTACGACTTTTGCCTCAATGAACTACTAATTTGCTGCTTATTAATAGTTAGTAAGGTAGTTGTTAAGTTTAGGTATTGGGTGGGACTAAGGAATCTGAATATGGTCATGCAGAATATGCGCTTTATAAGTACTAATAAACAGCCAGAATGCTATTAATATGCATGTAAGCAGTAAGCATGCAATAAGCAACTAGTTAATGGTGATAATTGGTCCTTTAAATAAAGTGTTACCAATAGTTTTGCTGGAAAATGATTGCATATGATGTGGGCCATGCACTGCACTGATATCCTGTATAGTATATACATATCCTGTCTATTGTTATACAAGTCTCTGATGCATATCATAGCGTCTGATAAATGAATGTTTTATTTGGAATAGCTCGGAGCAGTAGCTTTGGAAACAGTTATTAGTAGCACACTTACATGTGTTAAGACTTCATTTTTTGCAGCTTTTCTCATTAAGCTCTATTACTGTTCTTATTAAAGCCATAAGCTTTTGTAAACTTTTGGGATGTTTTGAGATTTTGATACACAGTCAGTGTTTAGTGACAAACTCAATACAACAAGCAAGCTGTCATTGTTCCAAGAGACTGACTAATTATGCTAGAAAGTTGCCAAAAGCAAGAGCAGTCTCCTCCCTTGTTGCTGTTCTTTCAGGTCGTTCACGTCTACACTCTTGACAAAGCTCAGAAGAATGAAGAAAAAAATAAGATGAGTGACAAGCAAGATTGTTTAAACTGTTTGATCTAGGTCAGATGTGTGTTCCTAGTGGAAGCAATGTGTGTTATATAATCCCCAGTTTAGTTGATAAAAATGGAGGATGCACTTGCGCATGTTCATTGCTTAAATGGATAAATTGGGTGGGATGAGACTTTAATTTGCTTAAGAGGCATTTCCTCATGTAAAGAGACACTGGTGCATGTAATCATTTGCTAAAATAAGCATTGTATTTCCATGCTAATTTTAATTGAAAAGCTGTACACTAATAATTTTTCGAGGCTTATGCACACCCCTTCAAGTAAAGTGTAACCACTTGTTATATTATATACTTGTGATATTAGTTTAATATGTTTAGCATAATTTGCAACACATGAAATTTTTTTTTTTTTACATACAGTAGTTCCATTTTCTACGACTTCTGCGCGAGAGCGCCCTCCGGCTTCGAGTATGAATGAAACATGGAGTGTTTAGCGCTCCGTGATGTTCATCTCGCCTTATTGTGGGTCCGAATAAAACATCAGATCATGCACAGACTATCCTGTCTCTTTGAATTTAAATATATATTTATTCACACCGGCTCTTGAAAACCTCTATGCGAACACACTTGCCCGAAAAAGTGCGGGGGACGAATTTACATGATATTAAAAGTGGGGGGGGGGACACGTCCCCCGCGTCCCCCGCGTAATCTACGCCCCTGCACAGAATACATTTAATTGATATGTTTATAATGTATATTTTCTTGTCTTACAGTGCAGATGGTGTGTATGAAGTATCATTTTACTGCAATGCAGTTGTCTCCAACACTGGTGACATTTTCTGGCTCCCTCCTGCCATCTACAAGAGCGCCTGTGCTATTGAAGTCCGTAACTTCCCCTTCGATCAACAGAACTGCACGCTTAAATTTCGCTCTTGGACCTACGATCGCACAGAACTCGATCTTGTCTTGACGTCCGATTTTGCCAGTCGTGATGATTACACACCAAGCGGTGAATGGGATATTGTGTCGCTCCCTGGCAGAAAAAATGAAGACCCCAATGATCTCACGTACCTGGATGTCACGTACGACTTTGTGATCAAGCGCAAACCTCTCTTCTACACGATTAACCTCATCATTCCATGCGTCCTCATCACTTCTCTTGCAATTCTGGTTTTCTACCTGCCTTCAGACTGTGGAGAGAAGATGACACTTTGTATATCAGTTCTTCTGGCTCTAACTGTGTTTCTGCTCCTGATATCAAAGATCGTTCCGCCGACATCCCTGGCTGTTCCATTAATAGGGAAGTATCTGATGTTTACGATGGTGCTGGTCACATTTTCTATCGTGACGAGTGTGTGTGTGCTCAATGTTCACCACCGTTCTCCATCGACACACCACATGCCCGAGTGGGTCAAGCGTGTGTTCCTGCATAAGCTTCCTACTTTCCTTCTGATGCGACGGCCCAGAAGGTCTAATGTACGGGGAAGGTTTCGACGGACGCATCAGCGGAAATCATTCTCATCTGATGCTAAGGGCATAAGGTTGGACGGAGACTCATTCTTCTTAAGTGATGACCCTGGGCGTGTGTGCGGGGCCTGGAGGGTCGGTGACCTTCCCGAGGGCTCAGAGTTCAGGCAGAGAGTGAAAGTCAGGCACGACCCAGATGTGGATGAGGCCATAGAGGGTGTGAGGTTCATTGCTGAACATATGAAGATTGAGGATGATGATGAAGGGGTGAGAATTTTTTTTGTGTTTTATTGATTGATTGACATATTCAATTAATTGATTAGTTGAGTTTTAGTAGATGAGTTCAATCAGTTTGAGATTTCAAAGTGAATCACTCTTAAAAACCAGTCTTTTTAATGAGTCAAAGACTTAGAGAACAAAAAGTGTAGTCTGATTCTTAATCGAATGTCTCTTAGGAGCTGGTTCTTTTTAGTGAATCAAAAAACATGTAGTGCAACCAGTGTAGTCTGAGTCCTGAACTGATTCTTTTTTGTGAGTAAAAAAAAAAAAAAACATTCAGCGGAACCAGTATAGTCCGATTCCCGAACAAATGACTCAAAAGAGTCAGTTCTTATTAGTGAATCAACGCATAGAGCTTGCAGCTAACTATAAGATTTAATTCATTAATTCAGTGCAGTGCAATTTGTGTGTGTGTGTGTTTTGTCAGTACAATTATATAAAAATGAATGAATAGTAATGAATTAACTGTTTGTTTATCGTTGCTAATTATTAGATTGGATTTACGCTGTCTCTTAAAAAATGAAAGGTCATTAAAAAATTTGTTGAAACTGAAATGATCAAATATTTCATTCATGAAACTGAATTTATTTTTTCAAAATATTAATTCCTTTTAAATATTAAAATAATCATTAATGGAACTGTTAAGAAGCTGGTTAATTCTTTAAAATTCCCATGCTGAGAAACTAAGTCTGAAATATAGAGTAAAATTGCAGTGCTGAATTTTATTAGTGAAAATACCAGGCAGGCATGAAAACACTGTGCTAAACCCCCATGACTGTGCATATATGTGGTAGTAATGAATGTTGTTTGCTTGCATGTGCCATGCAGATCATTGAGGACTGGAAGTATGTAGCCATGGTGATCGACCGGCTCTTCCTCTGGATTTTTATCCTGGTGTGTGTCGTCGGCACACTCGGACTCTTTGTTCAGCCTCTCTTTCAGAGCTACAACACACCCGTGGCAGAAGAAGAGTGAGTCACATCTTTCTTTCTCTACTCCTTCTCTTTAATTCATCATAATAAAAAGTGCCTCACACGGCTCCGGGGGGTGAACAAAGGCCTCCTGTAGCGAATCGATGCGTTTTTGTAAGAAAAATATCTATATTCAAAACGTAATAATCACTTTAATCTAGCTTGCGCCAACAGTTGTACACGGAAGCAGCTCTTGGAGGATGACATATGAGGTCGGTGTTGCGCATGCATCCGTGTAAAACTGTTGGCGCAAGCTAGATTAAAGTGATTATTATGTTTTGAATATGGATATTTTTCTTACAAAAATGCATCGATTCGCTACAGGAGGCTTTTTTTCACCCCCCTATACCGTGTGAGACACTTTTTTATTATGAATGGATGCGCTTTATTTCACTTCTTTTGGACTGATGCACTGCAACACCCGCTGACTGCCATTAAACAGCTTGAAAGATCAAAGACAATTTTTAATATAACTCTGACTGGATTCGTCTGAAAGAAGAAAGTCATATACACCTAGGATGCCTTGAGGGTGAGTACTTCATGGGCTAATTTTTCATTTTTGGGTGAACTAACCCTTTAAGCGGATCTTAACTTGACTGACTAAAAATGATTTGAAATAAGGAGACAATTAGAGCTACATGAGAATATTGTGGCTGTAAAGTAAGAGGAACGAAAGAAAATCCATGAAATATGTTATTTGTCAAGAGCTGGAACACCATATTTTGTATTGCCCGTCGGGTCTATTTATATATTTATTTTTTTATTTGCACATATATTTTCAGCTGCCCATAGTGATGATGTCGAGGGTGGGAAGATTTAACACGGTGGAAACTTCATTGCCTCAGCAGAGACAGCCGCTGTTGTCTGCAATGCTGCTGATCAGCAGAAATGCCCCTCCACTGCTTATGGCGTGCTGAGATATTGACGTCTCTCATATTTACTGTCAGATTCTCACATATGCACTGGTGCATTCTAAAATGTGGAGAAAGGAAGGACTGCATTTGTTGGTTTCAGTGTATATCTTTAATACAATATATTGTATAAATGACAATACTAAAATACTAAAAATAGTAATAATAATAATAATAAACAGATTTATGCTCAAATAGTGTGTTCATTATCTAAACAGTGTAAGGATTAAAGAAACTCAAATACTTTGATCTCCTGAGAAACAGACAATACAAACATGCACGGGTATCTTCGAGACACCCCACAGAGTGGAGGAATGCGTTTACTTTTATTTTAGGATGCGCTTGTCATCTCGGTTTCCTTTCCGTGAACTTTTGCAGAGCGCCGCGCCACAAAAATGAACCAATACCTCAGCAGCATATTTTACTCAGTCTTTTTTCTTTCCTTTTGTTAATCTGTTAATTATTTAAGTCAATATATTTCGCGTATTAATTCCTTTTATATGTAGACTATGATTGAATAAAAACAGATTGTTATTTTTAGTTAAACTTAATTTGTTGCTTGTCCGCCGCATTCTTTCTCTTCTCCGACCCCGCAGTATGCCCATCTCACAAATGTAGAATCTGTCTGTCATCTCAACCATCGAATTACAGCAACAGGAAATAGACAAAGTATTTTACCAGAGGAATTTATTGTCTGGTGCTGTTTTGCGGTGTTGGTAAATAAATTCACCACTTAATTGTGAGTTAAAATATGTTGTTGTAACATGCATTACTGAGATTGTAACGAGTAATAATATTACCCAAATTTTATTAGTAATGCGTTATTACTGCGTTACAGCAAAAAGTAATATACTACTGTAATATCGTTACTTTTGTAATGTGTTACTCCCAACACTGATCATCATCACCCCGTCCCTTAATCGCCGCCTTTCACCAGGCTCCCGACAGGAGTGGATGTGAGAGAGAGGAGGCACACCTGAGATGAGGCACACCTGAACTGAATGGAGCCTCGTCACCGCCGCTGTTAAATGCCAAGCGCGCCTCTCCTCGGGTGACCGGTCTCTTCCCTGTGCATGCACGCTGGTGTCCTTGTGGGTTCAGGAAGGGTGCGTAGAGGGATTCCTGTGCTGCCAGAGCTGTGAGCTGCTTTACCCACGGTCCGGATTTAGGACGCACCCGTGACTCCGCCGACGGCCTTGGATGCTGGGCAGGGGAATCCCCTCCAGAGCCGTGGGCCAGGGAATAAGCCGCTGAAAAGAAGCCGCCGCCCCTCGCGCCCCAGACCTCAGAGGGGAGCATGTGCGGATGCCGGACTCCACCCCTTACCTGGACCCCTCCTTCCTGAACACTACCTGTCCTTCACTATTTCCCTGCACAACGAGGACACCAGATCCCCCGTTTATTTTGGACACTTTATTCCCGTTTCTGGACACTTTGTTGATTTTGTGTTTAATAAAAGCCTGTCCGAGGCCTGACGCCACACCCACTGTGTCTGTCGTTTGCTCCTCCCGCCACATTGGTGGAGAATGCGGGCAAGGCGGAGCCTAGACAGCACAGTTGGGCAACACCTGATGATGTCATCGTTCGTGAAAACCCGGACTGGGACAGAGAAACGACGGAGATGGCCTCCGAACCACAAAAGGCGTAAGTGATTGTTCTTCTATTATCATTTACCCAGTGGTTGGTTGAGACTGCCGACAAAATCCCGGTTTTTCTGTCCTTGTTCTGGCGCGAGGCGAGAGGGAGAGCTGCCCGGAGAGGAATCCCGCCGCGCCCACTCCGACCGTTTGGAGCCTGGTTGAGGATGGGTGCACTGGGGGGGTGACGAGTTGTTTTGTGTTTAATAAAGCCCCTCCGTGGCCTGACGCTACACCCACTGTCTGTCGTTTGCTCCTCCCGCCACGATATGCACAATTATATTTTAAGAAAAAGAAGAAATAGTTTGACCTAATCTTTGTTTCAAACTATGTTTGAAAATTTGTCAATTTAGAAAATTTATTTATTACAGGATAAAATAAATTTTTATGAAATACTTTCACTAAGTGTATAAAAGTTCACAAAGCCTCCAGAGATCTTCAGATTATTCCAGAATGTTTGCTTTGGTTGAGCGTGGCATTTCTGGGCTTGTTTCACCAGCATTATCAGTGCAAACTGCTTGGCCCTTTGGCCAAACCAGTCTTCTGCAGATTTGTCAGACGGCTCTTTACCTGTTGTATTGCTCTGATTTTACAGTTGGAATACTGCCCATCTTAAATGTTACGGGAGAGAGAGGATGAGAAAGAGAGAAAAAATCAAGAAAGCATGTGACAAAGAAAACTATAAATACCATTAGAAAGGGGTAATCTGAGGAGCCTATGCAACACACACACACACACACACACACACACAGACACACACACACACACACACACACACACGAGACCGCACACACACGCACGCACGCACACAGACACACAGCGCATGCAACACACACACACACACACACGGAGACACACACACACACACACACACACACACGAGACACACACATACAAACATAATTTCATTAGCTTGTGAGCCTCTCCCAGATATCTCTCATTAAATATTGTCTTAAGGTCACATGTCCCCAGAGGCTTATGGAGAGACTAGCTGTGCTTGCGTTTGATCACTCTTGCTGCCATTGAAGATTAAAAATAACAGAAAGCAGTGATGTTAACTGCTAACATTAACCACACACAGCTGTCATTTTAAAACAAGCATAAGGACTCCTTCTCACTCTGTTAGGACTCTATACTCCCAAGGTCAAATTTGCAGGCATGCTTTGATTGGATAATTGCTGCCTTTTTGCTGTATTTCTGCTTGATTAAAAATATTTTGATTCCGGAAAAATCATGCACTCAAATTCAAAACTAATCCTGTCTCCATTTATATGTAATGACTCATGTGGGTGTTTCCTGTGACTTATCAAAAAAAACAAAAAACAAAAAAAACAATAGTTCATTTAATTTGTTCTCTAACAATGTTCAACAGTGGACATGCTTGCATCATTTTTGGAATTTCTACCAGTGTCATTTCCACCGCATCTCAAATTATGTGTTGTGTTTAAAGAAGACCTGTTATGCCCTTTTTACAACATAGAATATAAGTGTCAGGTGTCCCCAGAATGTGTCTGTGAAGTTTCAGCTCAAAATACCCCACAGATAATTTATTATATCATTTTGAAAATGCCTAAATGAGTATACACAGAAACAGGCTGTTTTTGTGCATGTATCTTTAAATGCAAATGAGCTGCTGCCCCCACCCCCTTTTCCAGAATAGGGCTGTGAATCGGGCCTTTACAGCTCATTCCTCAGATACTCTGGTAAAAACATCTGTTTGGTTTTGATTATGTCTATCGCGCAGAAATCATGCGTTTTAAACCATATAAGTTTAAACTCCTGATTTACGGTTTCTGAGCGCACACATCCGAAGCACGCATACAGAAAGCGGCTGTCACATGGCATGTGAGTACTAAAATAAGTTATTTCATGTCTTATTGCGCTTAAGCTGTCAAATACACAAAAGTTTATGTTAAAAACACTCATGAGTTACAAAAACAGTCGGTTTTGTCTGTGAAGGTAAACAGCTGGGAATTAAATTACATGTTTATATTAGATCTGTGTGGCATCAGCGTAATATACAGTAAATAAATCAATAAATCCACAGCTCTCTCGTCTACTCCGACTCCGAGTCTCTCCCGAATGTCCAAGCTTTGCACCCTATTTTTCAACGTTAGCCCAGACACCCTGAGGAGAAAACTCATTTCAGCCGCTCATACCGGTGATCTCATTAATTTGGTCATTACCCAAAACTCATGACCACTGGTGAAGGTTGGAACTTAAATCTACTAGTAAATCACCACAACAGCACAGTACAACGATCACATTACTGCTGCTCCACTGCTTATATGCTCCAACCTACCCTCACTTGTTAACAAGGTCCTAAGGTACTTGAAATCCTCTACTTGGGGAAGCAACTCAGTCCCTACCCAGAGTGGGTAATCCACCCTTTTCCAGCTGAGAATCATGGCCTCAGATTTGGAGGTGCTGACCCTCATTCTTGCCGCTTCACACTT